CAAATTCTAGTCCCTCGACTATTAAATTTTAGGATTTAGAAAGAAATTATCCAAGGCAAGCAAGAATTAATTCCTCAATTAATCACATTAAGGTTTAGATTTACGGGGTGTCACAATGATCACTTTCGTGTTGGTGAAAATCAAATGGCCACTTTGAACTATGTACGAGACATCTCAATTTCTCTTTGAACTCTCACTCAACCTCTGTCCTCGGCAACTGATGATGCCAAAAAGGGGAAAGAAGAGACAGAGATGACGATGGCAACCTCGAAAGAAGAAATAAAGGTGGCAACAATAGAAGAGATGAAAAAGAAAATAACTCAAAAAGAGATGGATGAAGTTCCAGCAAACTCATCCTACCTCCAATCTTTGGGTCATCTCAAGGAACCCGTCAGGCTAGTCGGAAGCAAAGGGAATAAATTCGAAAGAAATGGATGCATGACAAATCTATAACATTGGATGCAGAATGACAGTTTTTCCCATTCGAACCATATGTTGCCAGAAGTGGAAAACGCTTTGAGGGATGCAACATACCTGTCAGTATGAAAGGACGAGAAAATCTAGCCAGACAAGAATATCAGAGAGCCCGAAACAAAGAAATAAGAGAAGAAAATGAAAAGCGGGGGCAAGAACTAGAAGATATCAAGATGAGAAGAGAACAAGAGCTTGCATATTTTTAGGAAATACAAGAGAAAATAAAAAACCTTAGTGCAGTTGGAAAGGATACTGGCTCTAATGCTAAACGCAATGCTGTCTTCAAAATTCATGAAGAATCTGGTAAGAGTTATGTTTAGGGAATGAACTCCATAGAGCTTGTCATTTGGTGGAACAATGGGGTCATTCCAGGACGAAATGTAGTCGAAGCATACAATAACTACACCAACTACACCTTCTCTGATAAGTATGCAGAAGTGGCTCGTGACAAAGAAATCCGAGCATTCAGGAATATTATCAATGATGAACTCGACTACCAGTCAATGGCAAGAAAACAAGAAGCTCAAGAGAAGGAGTCTTGAATGCAAGAAGCTCTACAGAGAGAAAAGTTAATGAACATGTAATAGCTTGATATCTCAACTCTCTTATAATGCATTAAGCATGAATGAAATATCTCTTTTTGCAGGTTGTGCTGAGTTTTTTATTATCTTGTTTATCTAGAAATCTTTTGTAAACTCATCTGTTTGGCTGTTTTGTAATGAAAAATTCCTTCGTGGATAATTTCAGTCTTATAGCAAGACTATAGGTTATGACATCACCAAAAGGGGGGAAATTGTTAGGAACAAGTGTATTTAGATTTTGATGATACCAAACTTACTAGGAATGTAGACCCCTCTTTTACTCTTGTTATTTTGCATCTTTCGTGCTAAACGAAAGTTGTTACAACTCACCATGTGATTCGTGCTCAGTAGCATATTTACACAAATCAGAGCCGTATTTAGTAAGTTAGAACTGTTTGAAGAAGAAAGAAGATCAAGAGAAGACCGAGAGATCAGCTAAGACTGAAATCATGGAAGGGTACGGTCCATCTCTCGTGTATTAAAAACTCAACGAAAGATAAGGACAATCTTTCGTTACCCTATGACCCGAGACAACAAGTCAAAGCCTGACTTGATTAAACAAAATTCATATGCTATCAGAAGCATATTTGTTTAAGTCTCATTTTGGGTAAATCATCCTAGACAAAGGGTGTCCTAGGAATGAAATTTCAAATTTCACGAAGCATTTAATGATTAGTAACTTTTGTCTACATAAAATGACAAAATTGTTGGTCACTTTTTGAAGCCAGCGGCTATACAGTACAGCCGCATTTAAGTCTCCTTACCCAGAGGTCATTACATACTGGTTTTGTTATACTCTGTTGAAATCAAATCCTTTAGTAAATACAAAATTAATACTTTTTATTCTTCTGCTTTTGAACAACGAAATCATAAATAAGGGAGAAATTTAAGAAATAAAAAGGTCATTTTTACATGCATGCATTAAATATAAAATTTTAATATATATACACATATATGTATGTGTATATATATTTGTAGTATATATTTTGATTATAGAGTTAATACCATCTGAGGTCCTCCGAGTATAGTGGTTTTGCCATGTTTAGTCCTAAACTTTCAAATTGACCATCTGTGGTCCTTCGACTTTCAAATTTAACCATTCGTGGTCCAAGTTAACCACTCATGGTCCTTCAACTATTAAATTTTAACCAACCATGGTCCTTTCAAGAGGATCACGGCTGGTTAAATTTCGAAACTTGAAGGACCATGGGTGGTTAACTTTGACCACGAATGGTTAAATTTGAAAGTCGGAGGACCACATATGGTCAATTTGAAAGTTTAGGACTAAACGTGGCAAAACCACTATACTCGGAGGACCTCAGATGGTATTAACTCTTTTATTATATTTATATATATTTTTTGTGATTCCAATTCTTCTTTTTCTTTTTTGTGGTTTAACGAAACCCTAACTATAAAGGAGATACTTTTAATCTCATATGTAAGTAACAACCAAATCCAAAGAACATTAGAGGAGCTTAATTGCTAATTTGCTAGCTACCAAATATACTCATCATAATATTTTATATCCAAACTCGAAGTATTATGTTTGTGTTCAAGTTCGCCTTTATTTGGATTCTATTATTATTTCTGACCTTTATTTAGTAATATATAAGAGACAGTTGATCTCAGGATTTTGAGCAGTAGCTAGTGAAAAGTTGATCTCTTTTAAATATTTCCACTGCGATCCTTTTACCTCCTCTCTATAAAATATACTCATCATAATATTTTATATCCAAACTCGAAGTATTATGTTTGTGTTCAGGTTCGCCAAGTATATATTTTGTGTGCTTAATTAATTGATAACGTTGATTTATATACCATAATGTATTGTATCATTAGAAATTGAAATTCCAATGCACTCGTGAAGAAGCATATCAATTTTAGGAATACTGTGCACTACACAAGTTTTAAATCTTTTCTGGATTATATTAATCAACTAGCGCGGTATTTGAAGCAATTGAATACTTTTCCAAAAACTAGTGAAAATTAATTATAAATTGCATAACTTCAATTCATTTCGAGAAGAATACGGAACACACAACATGTTAATATATATACATATGTAACAACCAAATCCAAACAACATGGGAGGATCGGAGCTTGCTTGCTACCAAAGCAGAAATTCTCCACAATGCATGTTTCAATTATATTATTTGTGACCTTTATTTAGGGTGTGTTTGGAAATCCTGAAAAATTATTTTTTTTTGGGTTTCCAGTGGGAGAGTGCGGAAAATTGAAGTTAACAGAAAATGATTTCCGGTCAAAGGAAAAATAGCTTGGTTTTTCTGGAAAATGACTTCTCCTTTTTTTGGGGAAGTCATTTTCCAGATCCAACTGCTTCTTCATTCTGACTTCTTCCGAGAATGCTTCCTCGGCTTTCTTCCGCCATCCTTCGCTTTCTACCTTGACTAGTTTTTGACAGAACTATACTGGTTTTTTCGGAAATCAGTACAAACAATACTTGTTTCTTCGGAAACAAGTAGACGAAGGAAACAGGTCTAGTTTTTACTGGTTTCCCACGAAAACCAATCTGGTTCGTACTAGTTTCAGTCGAAAACCACTAGAAACCAGTACACTTTTTTTTAAAAAAATATATATATATATTTTGTTTTTTATTTGAAAAAAAAAATAGCTGGACAAAACATAGTTGTTGTTAAATATTGTTTTAGTCAGCAACAATTAAAATTTGAATTGTACAATTCGTCTTATTTTCCAGAAAATGAACCAAAACACAAAGACAGTTTTCTGGATTGTAACCAAATACGAGAAAATTTTCCAAAGAATATTTTTCAAAAACACACACACACACACACACACACCCTTAACTAGTTATACATACATATATATATATATATATATATATATATATATATATATATATATATATATAGGGTTGGGTTCAAATGAGGACAACAATATATAGAGGACTGTGAGGACAAATAATGGGCACACAACAAATTACTATCAGGCACACAATTTAATACATAATGGCACACAAGAATACATGTAAACATCAGGTTTCGAACCCAGGCTCTATTAATTAACAAATGTATGCATGCGACATACAAACTGTGGCACACGACTACATTCGGCCATGCACACGACATACAGACTAATGGCACACACTACATCTGTCCTCACAGTCCTCTATAATATACTTGTCCTCATTTGAACGCAAGTATATATATATATATATATATATATATATATATATATATATATATATATATATATATATATATATATATATAGAGGATCATATGAGGTCATGTTCCGACATGAGGTCTAAGGTCAAAATCTGGCCTTTGATTGTGCGGTGATCTATGGTTGTTATTGTTTTGGGTTTTTATTTTGTCCTTTTTTTTTTCTTTTTCCGCGTGAGTGTGTAAGGACCTTTTTGTCTTTGAATTTTTCTTTCCTATTTATTTGGTGTCTTTGTCGGCTGACTTTCTCATTTTTAGGAGTGTTATACATGGTAAATAAAGATTTTGAGCGTTTATATTCGGATGTAGCGATCCACTTTATACAATTTATAGTTCTTGTGATTTTTCCTTTCATCGTTTCATAGTTTTTCAATTTTTTCATCTTTCTCTGCGTGAAGGCTTATGGATTCTCCAGGTTAGTTTTTCCGTTTGTTTCTTGTATATTTTTTCTGAGCATCGGTTGGTGGTTGGTTTGTGTATAAGTATGTGTCTATTTGTATGACATGCGTTCTAGGTGTTGTGGTTTGATGTTGGTTATGGAGTTTTAATTTTTATATATAAGTTGGGGGTCTTGGATTATTCATTGGGTAGTTTGTTTGGTTTTATGTCGTAGTTGTATTTGTGATTTTCGTTTTTTAATAACTGCAATTGGCATATGTTTTTCGTTTTAATTTGTTTTGGTAATTTATGCATTTCGGTATTTGTTTGACATTATGGCTTATGTGTGCTGGGTTTGTGTTCGATGGTAGGATGTTGTCGTGGTAGTTTGTGCATTTCGGTGTACATCGTTGTTGCATTTTATATTGGGTTGAAGGTTTTTGTGCTGTGGGTCGTGTGTGGTAATTTCATAAAGTGCATGTGTTTGGTATTCGTTGTGTGCGTGTTTTCGTTTTGTAATAAGTACCATTGGCATATTTGTTTCGTTATATATTGTTCTGCTAATTTATGGATTTTGGTGGTGGGCTGACAACATTGCTTGTGTGTGCCGGGATTTGGTTCGCTGTTAGGATATTATGTTGTTAGTTTTGTGCATTCCGGTGTACATGGCATTTGCATTTTATATTGGTTTTGAAGGGTTTTGGTTTGTAGGGGGTAGGAGTTTTCTTCGTAAAGTGCATTTTGTGTTATTTGATATGTGGAAGCAGCTTGTTTTTTTTTTTTTTGGAATGTTATGCATGTCGTTTTTATTTTGACCGGTTTTGTGTTTGTGTGTATATTTCTGTTTGATGTGTGTGCAGCACGGTCGGAATCGCAGCAAGGGTGTGTTATGGACGTGTCCCTCGATGGGACTAAGTTTTGGACGCCTTCGTGTGATGAGGCGGTTAGGCCTTTTGAGGGGCAGACTTTTCCTTCTCTTGCTCACGGTATTGATTTTTATCGTCAGTATGCGTCGCTCGTTGGTTTTAATGTACGTTGTAGTTCGTTGCGTAGGAATAGGGAGGGTGTTGTTGTGAAAGACTTGTTGGTTTGTTCGCGTGAGGAGTTCAAGCAGGCAGTGCAGGGCTCTGTTGTTGTGGATGGTGCGTTGGATCAAGCACCTGTGGCTCCAAAGCGCCGGCGTGTTTCAAATAGGGTGGGGTGCAGAGCGAGGTTGGTGTTGAAGATGGGTGACGATGGGGTTTTTGTGGTTCATTTCATTGAGCTACGGTATAATCATTGTTTGTGCTCGGATGTGGCTAAGCCTTTCTTGCGGGGTAATCGTTCCATGGATGTGCAACATCAGATTTTTGTGCTTAAGTGTGCTAGGGCCAATGTTGGGCCCAATAGGTCGTTTCGTTTGGCTAGGGAGTTTGCTGGGTCGTATTCAATGTTGGTGCGACATGTGTCAATTTTAAAAATTTGAAGCGTGATTTAATGGCATTTATTGGAACTTCAGATGTTCATAGTGAAAAAATATGCTAAGAAGGTAGATGATTGCCCGGATTATGTCTTTAGATATGATGTAGATTCCCAGGATCAGTTATGTAGGGCTTTTTGGACTGACCCTATTGCGAAGGAAAGTTTTTCAGCTTTTGGAGAGGTGGTGTCGTTTGATGCAACTTGTGGGACTAATAGGTAAGCCACGTTGTTCTAAAAAAAAACTTTCTTGTAGTTGTTTTTTTTTATTTTTTTATTACTGGTATGTGCAGTTTATTATTATGTATTTGTGCAAGCAGTATGCTAAAAACCATGGGGTTTATTTTTCGTTGGTTTGGTGTTATGTTTTGCAGGTATGGTATGGTATTGGTCCCGTTTATTGGTGTTGATAATCACAAGAGAGGTGTCACATTTGTAATGGGGTTGATTTCCCGTGAAGATGTGGACTGTTACGTGTGGCTTCTCCAGCAATTTAAAAGTGCAATGGGTTGTGTGCCTAGTTGCACTATCACTGATCAAGATCCTTCGATGCGGGTTGCAGTCCCACGGGTGTTTGATACTATGCGGCACAGGTTTTGTATGTGGCATATTATGTCAAAGGTTGGCGAGAAGGTTGGTAATGTTCTATCTAAAGATGAGGAGTTTCGGCGCGCGTTGAATGATGTTGTTTGGTGTGAGACGTCGTCCGTGGAGGAGTTTGAGCGGGGTTGGCAGGACGTTATGGAAAAGTATAGCCTTGGTGACCACCGATAGTTTCGTCTTATGTATGATCTAAGATCGTATTGGATCCCTGCGTATTTTAATGATCTTTTCATGGGTGGCTTGCTTCGCACGACATCTAGGTCCGAAGCCGCGAATAGTGTGTTTGGTAGTTGGACAAACCAGCATGCTAGTTTGTCTGAGTTGTTCAACAATTTTGAAGGGGCTATTGATGCTCAACATTTGGCGCAAGCCAAACTAAATGCCGAGTGTGAGGGCCATTTTCCTTTGTGCCAGACTCCGATGTTGATTGAGAAGCATGCGGCTGCGGTGTATACTATTAATGTTTTTTATGATGTGCAAGCCGAGGTTATCGCGGGATCTTTTTCGTGTCGTGCTGTGCGTTCAAATGTTGAAGGGCTGGTAACCCGGTATGAGGTTGAAGATGATGATGGCCCGGTGCGCACCGTGAGTTTTGACTCTGGTAATGCTGGTGTCGAGTGCACGTGTAACATGTTTTCACGGGTTGGGTTACTTTGTCGTCATATTTTCTGGGTTTTCAAGGATCGTAGGGTTGTTTCTATCCCTTCTCGGTATGTGATCGCACGTTGGACAAGGGGGGCTTGTGTGCGACAGGTGTTGGGTGTTCAACGTGGGGGCGATTCGGAGGTAGATGTCGCAATTGGTGAAGCTTGGGCGCAATTTTTTTCGTGTGTGACCATGGCTTCACGGAGTGTTGATCATGTTACCAAGTTGAATGCAGCCCTGAAAGATTTCAATGCTTTTTTATTGGCTGAGAATGGTCCTACCGTTCGTGCTTCTTCTTCTAAGAAGAAACTTTTTGAGTCATTTTGCGGTGCTTCGCCCGATGGTCAAGTTAATGTTCGTCCTCCTCCAATCTGTAATAACAAGGGTGGTGGCAAACGTTACAAAAATATAAGGGAATTAGCTATTGAAAAGTCGGGGCGTCGACAACGCCAATGTCAAACTTGTGAAAAGTATGGGCATAATAGTCGTACCTGCCCGATGCGCAACGTTGACGTATGACGAAGGGGTTCGTATTGCTCTTTGGTTTAAATTTGAATTTAAACATGTTGCTTTGTTTTTTACTTCGTCACTCACTTGTGTTTATTTCGCATTTGATGTTGGTTTTTGTTGGTCCCAAAAGAGGTAAGGTGAAAGTCTAGAGGGGGGGGGGGGGGGTGGGGGGGGGCGTGAATAGACTTTCACACTTTTTCGCACAGCACAACAATTGCTAAGCCAAAGATAAACCAAAACTCTTAACTAGATTGTTAGAGTATGGTGCACAGCGGAAATAAATAAACATAAAGTGTGTGTGAGATTGTGTGAGCAGTATATCTCGTGTAGAGCGAATATGTAAAGAGCGGTAAGTAAAGAAAGCAGTAAAGAACACAAGACAATTATAGTGGTTCGCGAGGTGGTGTAATCCTCCTACTCCACTTGCTCTTATCTCCAAGAGCAATTCACTATATCTACCACTCCTTGGTTCCAAGATACAATGAATTTCCGTGATCTAGTGCTTTGATCACAAAGCCCGCACTAATCACGCCAGTGACACCACACTGCTGCTTCGGGTTTCACGTCGCCGCGCTACTATCCCAGGATTTCACGACTCCGCGTTACTTTCCCCCCGTCTTCCACACTACGGTAGAAACGTATCCCGTGATCTGGTGCTTTGATCACCAAGCCCACACCAATCACGCCCAGTGCCTCCGACACTGCTGCTTCGGATCTCACAGCTCCGTGTGACAATCCAGGATTTCATAGCTCCGTGCTACTTTCCTCCCTTCTCTTGTTTTGCTCCAAAACAAGTGTTGTCTTGCTTCCAACTTCTGAGACTCTGTAGATGATCTTCAATGATGCGCAGGTCTCTTTGATGAAGATAAACACTCTGAAATGATTTCTCTTGATAGCTCTGAGTGTTTTCTCTCTTTGAATATATCAAGTAAAGCACTTGATATTTTTGCTCTGTTTTGCTCTGTTTAAGAACTCTCTGAATATTTTCTTTGAAGCTCTCTGAGTTCGTTTTTTTTTTTTTTTTTTTTTCTTTTCTCACTTCTCACTTGAATATTTTTGGTATGCTCTGTACCAAATGAGATTTTTGCTCTATGCTCTTTCAAGCTTAATTGCTCTATTCGATCTCTTTGATGAGTTTCGAATTTTCTGCTCTTGCTCTATTGCTCTTCACACTTTTTCGTTCACTGCTCTTCTTCTCTTCATGTCTTCATATCTTCATCATTTTATAGCTGGTAATGAGAATCTGTCCGTTGGAAAGAGACTGTAACACCCCGTGTTACGGCCTTCAATCCCGCATTAATTATTTAATTAATCTCGTTAATAATAATTAAATATGATTTAATTCGGTTAGGTTTCCCTTTAATTAATTAATGAGGTCCACCATGAACCGTGGACCCTTGCCTAAATGAGAGTCTTAGGCCTATTAGGAATAAAGGAAGTAGGCCTTTTACTATTCTGATTATGATTAGGATTCTCTTTAATTAATTAATATGGTCCACTATGGATCATGGACCCTTATCCCTAAACCCAATCCTTAGTTCCAAAAGAAATAGAATTAGCAAGCCTATAATATTAGTTCCTAACTAGGACTCCTAAATATATAAATAGGGGGCTTGAGAGGCACCTAGAAACCCCCACCACAATAAACGTTCCACCACCCCAAAGAGCTCCAAGAATCCCCTTAGAAGAAATCATGAAAGCAAGAAAGCTTAAAGAAAGACCCTTCATAGCCAAGGAATTAATTAAGGCTAAGAGGTAACCCATGTCTCAACAAAACCTATTTTTATAGTTATGATTTCCCCCGTAGGTTTTCCCCATATTATTGTGTATTGATGATTTGTGATGTTATTATTGATGATTGATGGGATAATTCCATGGGTGATCTTGACATCGGGAGATTCTTGATAACTATGGTGTCCTTAACGATTATGTGGAGTTCTCGTTGATTATATGGTGTTCTTGATAAATTGTATGGCGTTCTTGATGCTTAAGTGTTATTTGTACCGAATCTTGTAATTAGAAGGCGAACCGTATTCTTGTTGATATAAAAGTAATTAGAACCCTAGGTTGATGTTCTTGTTGGCGTTCTTGATGCTTATGTGATATTCTTACCGAATCTTGTAATTAGAAGACGAATCATATTCTTGTTGGATTAAAAATAATTAGAACCCTAGGTTATATCGTGGAATTCGTATGGTATTATTCTTGGTATATTGGGTGGGATTTCGCATGATTGGGTGTTTATTAGGTCTAGAAAAGCATGATAGGTTATGTACCGTTTGATTCTTGATTTTGATCCGTTAAATCGTCTACGTGTGTTATCGATTGCGTTTGAAAGTGTCTAAGCATGGTCTCGGGTTCCACGAAGGTTCCCGGGGCGTTTTTGGTGTTAATGAGTCAGTGGGGGGTAGGTGGGGGTAGGGGACCCGCCACCTACCCACGGTAAAAAAGGGGCAGTTCCGGCAGCGGGCAGCTGCCCGCCGGCGACCCGCTGCCCGGAACAGTGTTACCGGCGGGCAGCCGGCGGGTGGCCCCCCACCCACCGGCTACCCGCTGGAAATTCCCACACTTGGGACCCCGACTTCCCCGTTTGATGTTTCCCCGACCCCCGTGGTGTCCAACCGGACTCCGTCTATCGTGCCTTTGTCTAGTTTGATGTTTCGGGTACCGTTCGTAGGTTGTATGAGTCTTATATATTGCATGCTAGTTGAATTGGTATCCGCTGACCTAGGTGAAAGGAGTATGAACCCCTTAGGACCATTCTTAGTATGTGAAGGATCACGCATAGGTTTTGTTATACGTTTTCTCCCCCTTCCCAATGTGTTAATGTGGGTTGCATGTGCTTGCTATGTGTTATGTGTGCATGTTTTCCCGAGTTGGTTGATATCAATCGGGCTATACGGGCAGTCGGGTGGGCTGAGAACCATACCGGCTGTTAACCAGGCTGGTAAAGACCGGTCAGGTATATAAATATTATATAGGACAAAGGTCCACTATACAGGCAGTTGAATGGGTTGAGAACCATCCCAACTGTTAACCAGGCTGGTAAAGACCGGTCAGGTATATAAATATTATATAGAACTGCGGTTCATTAGTCGGTTGCGATCGACTCCTCCGTAATGTGAGACGGGGCAGGGTGCTGCGGGGCCGTGTCAGAGCTATATGCGCTGACCCTCATGTATGGGCATGCGATTGGTCCTGTGGCGCCAACAAAGTGTGCTATGTGATGAAGTATGGATGAGTTATTGTTATGAGTATCTTGGGGATGAGACTATGAGATTTATACCGAGGATTGTATATGTTGAGTTATGATTATTAATTGTGCTTATCTTATCTGTCTTGCCTGTTGTAAACTGTATATGCTCGGTATAACTGCTGTCTGTGCTTAGCCCTATCTGTTGAGTCTATCCCTGTTTTAAAAGCTAGAGTTCGTAGGAGATATCCTCATGTTCAAATGACTTTTCATATATATATATATATATATATATATATATATATATATATATATATATATATATATATATATATATATATATATATATATATATATATCTATATGTATTGTATTTCAACGCGTTGGAGTGGGTTACCAGCATCTCTCGCTGAACAGATATATTTGGCTTTCAGGCACAGACGATTAGATCACTGGAGCGCGCTAGAAGCTTGGACGTAGCTTAGATAGTTTTTTTTTTCCTTCGGCCTGCGTGCCGTGATTTAGTATTGATACTATTTGAGGATATTAGTTAGTTAGCCTGTGCACCTGAGTTCTCTAGCTCAGGTGTGGCATAGCACCCCATACTCTTGTGTTATGTTTTGGGATTTAATGAGATTTCACCTTTATTTTATAAGTTTTAAATATCCTGAAAATCTGGGGTGTTATAAAGACGCTCTCATTTTTGAAATCTTGTATCTTTTTTTCAGAGATCTTATCTTATCTTCTGCAAAGATGTCAGAAAGGATAAGCTAGCCGTTTGATGGATCTTCATCTCCATGTAAATGAGCTCCCAAACTTCATC